AGCACCTTCTACTAAGTATTCTTCTAGTCATTGGGAACCAGTAATAGAGACCAATATTGAGCTATCACTATGGTTCCACCCTGTAAGGCCGATGTTCAACTACTTCAGGAGGAAGCATATGATCAAGAAGTCCAAGCTGTACTCAATAAGACTTTAGGAACTGAGAGAATACCAACTAAAACATTTTGACAATCCAATGCAGCACAGGAAACGTTCACGAATCTATGCCAAGTAATTTGGAAAACAGCTGCCTGGCCAATCCAACTGAAAGAGATCTATATTTGTGTCCATTCCAAAGAAAGGTGACCTAACAGAATGTGGAAATTATTAAAACAAAATCACTAATATCACACACAAGTAAAATTTTACTGAAGATAATTAAACAACAGTTATTGCATTACAATAGGGAGCTGCCAGAAATTCAAGCCAGATTCAGAAGAGGACATGGATCAAGGGATATCATTCCTGACATTAGATGGATTTGGGTTGAAAGCAGAGAACGCCAGAAAGAAGTTTACTTGTGTTTTGTCAACTATGTAAAAGCATTTAACTTTGTGGATCATAATAAATGGTGGATAATATTGCAAAGAGTGGGAATTCTTAAACACTTAATTGTGCTCATATGGAACTCGTACATAGACCAAGAGGCAGTCATTTGCAAGGGGATACTGAATAGTCTAAAATCAGGAAAAGTATTCATCGGGGTTGTATCCTTTCGCCATACTAATTCAATATGTATACTGATCAAATAATGAGAGGATGGATCATGAAAGGAAATCATGGCATTAGAATTGGAAAAAAGCTCATTTATAACCTGTGATGTGAAGATGACACAACCTTGCTGAAAACAAAGAGGACTTAAGCACTTGCCAATGAATATCAAAGACTACAGCCTAAGTATGGATTACAGCTCAATGTAAAATAAAATCCTCATAACTACACCAATAAACAATATGATAAAGGGAGAAAAGATTATAGTTGTCAAAGATTTTATTTTACTTGGATCCAAAAATCAGTGCTCATGGAAGCAGTGGTCAAAAAAATCAAATGATGTAAATTATGTAAATATATTGCAAAAGACTTCCTTAAAGCGTTAAAGAGCAAAAATGTTACTTTGAGGACTAAGTTGCACCTGACCCAAGTCATGGTATATTTTCAATCACCTTACATGAATGTGAAAGCTGGACAATGAATAAGAAATACTGAGGAAGGCTTGAGGCATTCCACATATGGTGTTGGCGAAAAATATTGAAAGTACTATGGACTGCCAATAGACAAATAAATCTGTTTTGAAATAAGTACACCCAGAATGCTCTTTAACATCAAGGATGGCGAGATTTGGTCCCATGTACTTTGGACATATTATCAGGAGGGACCAGTCCCTATACAAGGGCATCATGTTGATATACTAGAATAGAAAAGAGCAAGATACCTAATTAGTTAGATTGACATAGGAGCAGCAACAAGTGCTCAAACATAACAACACTTTTGAAAACGGCTCAGGATGGAACAGTGTTTGATTCTGTTGTACACAGGGTCATTATAAGTTGGAGCTGACTCAACAGGACCTAACAACAACATAGTATTAGTCTGACTGGAGCTCTGGTGGTGTAGTGAGTTAAACATCCAGCTTCTAATGAAAAAGTTGTATTCGGACTAACCAGCCTTTCTACAAAACAAAACAAAAACAAACCGCCAGACAACAAAAACAAAAAATTATTATCATGACTAATTGTAATTGTCACAACTGTAAAGGTAGAAATCTTGTAGCAAAAAGCAGGGAGTGGTTGAACTTACAGTCCTGGAACTGAGGACCCTGGGACCATCAAGGGAGAAGACCAGGAGCAGAGCGCGGGACCATATCGAGAGAAGCGGCGTTGTCAGAAATGGAGGCAGAGATGATCACTTGGAGAGACAGAGCAGCTGAGGACTCTAGACTAATGGAGGGAGAGGGGCTGTGTGCTGGTGGGAGGGGGGCAGGCTTGCAGGGTGTGCCCTTTGGTTCTTTGAATGGTTGTATATTCCTGAGCATTTTGGTGTACATCCAAAACACACACACACACACACACACACAAAAAAAAAAAAAAACCAAAAAAAACAGAGGGAATAGAAACAAATACAATTGAATGATGCATGGAGGGGACTGTAATCATTGCAATGAAACGAAATACGATAGGATGAGTGTAAAAGTGATGTTCTCCCATGTAAACTATCACTCAATTTACAATAAAAACTAATACTAATAAACCCTATGGAGCAGTTCTGCTCTGTTCTGTAAGGAACAGAGCTGGAATTGAGTCATTGGCAGTGAGTTTGGGGGTTTGGTTTGGTTTGGGTTTCAGATTATGTTTAGTTTCTGTATGGGCCAGAGTAGTGAATTAAGGACTATTACAAATCGGGTTGCGAACCACTACGTCAGCAGTTCGAAACTACCAGCTGTTCCATGGGAGAAATATGAGGCTTTCTGCTCCGTAAAGATTTACAGCCTCGGAAACCCTATGCGGGGTCACTATGAGTCGGAACCGACTCCATGGCACATTACAACAACAACATAATAACTTTGACATTCTTTAGGTCTTTAAGGGTATCACTAATCTCTGTCACCCTTCTCCCTAGGTACAATTTGGCTTTTGACTAATTTCCACAGAATACTGTGCCTGACAGACATGCAACTCTAGAACCCCAGGTGGTGCACCATGAGACAGATGGTCACATTTATTCCAAAGTCACATTTCACACAGGCTGTTTCCTACCAATAACTGAGTATGACAGGGGTTCTAAGGCAGACCTGTTCTTGGGAACCATGAGACTACTTTATAGACCAACTTTGGTTTGAGGACTCCCCAAAAAACTTTGATAAAACTTCCTTAGGCTGCAGGATTGTTGTTGTTGTTATGTGCCGTGGAGTAGGTTCAGACTCATAGCGACCCTGTACAGTGTTTCCGAGGCTGTAAATTTTTACAGGAGCAGAAAGCCTCATCTTTCTTCCATGGAACAGCTGGTAGTTTCTTTAGGTCTTTAATCTCTGCCACCCTTGAATAGTCTAAGATAATTCTATTCAACCTTTATCCCCTATCCTTCACTTTGAATTCAACTTACGTTATGGTATAACATCATTACCTAGCTCTCTCACTATTCTCTCTAACAGGCATTTCACCCTAATTAAACCTTGGCATGCTTAAGCTAATCTTTGTACTTATCTGATGGTCATAGAAACCGGAATAACACAGCTGTTTTGTTGTTATGTGTCGTGGAGTCGGTTTCAACTCACAGCGACCCTGTACAGGGTTTCGAGGCTGTAAATCTTTACTGGTGCAGAAAGCCTCCTCTTTCTCCCGCGGAACAGCTGGTAGTTTAGAACTGGTGACCCTGAGGATAGCAGCCCAATTTGTAACCACTACACTTACCAGAGCTAGAGGGAGGCATTTTGAGAGGGCACAAACCAAGAAACTAGCAATAGACCAATTGTAATTCCAATTTACACATCATTTGGGGATTGAAGAGATGATCAATGGGTATGTTGAGGGATCCAGTGGATCTACTATGAACCAGATCTGGTGGACAATTCTATTTCTTACTTGATCTCTGTATGCTTCTTCTCTAACAAGGAAACTATGACAACATTTCAGATCTCAGATGATCACTTTAGATTTCAAAGTATCACTGCTAACTTAGTTTCTAAATATTGAGTGCTTCAACACGGTTGCTTATATCCATATGTTAAATCCCCCTATGGGTTTTAATCTTGGAATCACAGACCTGCTGGTGTTGGGAATTCAACTTTCTCTGGATCTCTGCTACTCTTACAATTACATCCTAGTTCTGGCCTTCAGTGTTTTCTGCTCTTAAGCTGCAGGCGATGGAAGTCCCTTCTAAGGTACGTGGAGGCCCTATGCCTTTCACATTTAGTTGATAAATCAACTTCTATTTTACAGTGTTTTTCTTCACAATCTCAATTGCCCAAGTCATACCGAGTCAAATCTAGTATCTGTATGATTATTATTTTCCAGGACTGCTCAAACTATTGATGCATTGCCTCAGTTGGCTTGCTCCTTTAATGGGTCCGCCTTCCTGTGTCACCACCTGTCATAAGGCCATTTTAAGACATATGCAGTTTGATGCTTCAGTGTCCATAAATCCCTGGAGTTCTGGTGTGGCAATGTAGGATAAGCACTGGACTTCTAACTGCAAAGTCTGTGGTTCAAACCGACTAGCCATTTCTTGGAAATCCTTTACAGGGTTATAACTGACTTGGTGTCACTCAACAACAGTTTCTCTTTCATGCAATTTTTTTTTCACATGGTCACACTTGTCATGTACCCTCTCAGTAAGTGTGGTCTCTAACTGACCCTCCTGGTCATACCAAATATGGGTTCCTATGATAGACCCCAGAGTCCTGATGTGGCACTGTGGGTTAATGCACTGGACTGTAAAGTCGGTTTGAACCACAAGGTCCGCAGTTCAAACTCACCAGTCGCTCCTTGGAAACCCCAGGCAGGGTCACTATGGGTTGGAACTGACTCAACGGGGCTTACCAACAAATGCCAGACCCCATTGCTAACTTGTCATCCTGTTTCTCAACAGTGCCTCTCCCAGCAAGACACAACTTCTATTGTTTAGATAGCATTCTTGCTTCAACTCCTTTCCCCAATGCCAATCTTCTCCCACTTCTGATGGAACACTGGGTCAGTTGCAACCACCCAAGACACTTGCTTGCAAAGCAGATTTCCAGGGCCCCTGCTGGAAAGTGACAGGTTTCACTCACAAGGTAAGGATTTCTCAGAAAAAGATAACTTAAGATACACATGGGAAGGGAACGTGGAATAGAATCAACCACTTAAAGATTCACTACCAGGGTCAGAAATCATTTTGGTGCAGTGACAAGAATGAAACAAAGTCAGGAAGGACAAAGCACTTTTTTACTGACGAATGTGCTGAGGCTGGAGGGTGACCTCACTCACCCTTGATGTCTCAAGACTTCAGGTTGCTTCCCGCTATTCTCAGAAGCATTTTCTCTGGATCACAAATGGCCCAAACTCCTTGAATTCAGGAGAGGTGACCCACATCTGCTTGAAGGTACTCAGAGAGCTCATGATGGATGCACCGATCCAGGAAGAGAAACACCTGTCAAGAGAAGCTGTGATCTTGATGGGGGTCCCTCTGACAGCTACTAATTCCAGTTCTCTCAACAGGCGTTCCTCGAACCCAGGGAACAGAGTGGTGCCCCCGGCCAGCACAATCTCTGCTAAAAGGGAGGCCTGGATGTCGGTGTCACACTTTAAGATGCTCCTGGTGACCATTTTCGTGATTCCAGGGCTTTGGATGCCCAGCTGGTCAGGCGCAAAGAGGGCTTCGGGAGCCTGGTGTAGCTGGTCCCCGATGCAGATTGTAGTGCCATCTGGCAGTCTGTACTCTCTCAGGACTTGCCCTTGTTTTCTTAGCTCCTTGTCTGGATCAAAGGCCACATAGCCCAGCTTCTCCTTGATGTCACTCACCACTGCTCTGCTGTATACAGAGGAGTAGGTATGCCCGCTGGCCAGAAGCAGCCGGGACAGGTGCTCTGTAAGGTCCCTGCCGGCCACATAGAGCTTGCTGACAGCATGAGGCAGGGAGTAACCCTCGAAGACTGGGACGGTACAAGTGATCTCTTCTCCACTGTCCACCACCAGGCCGGTGATGCAGGCAGAGGCATAGAGTGCTGCAACCCCATGGTTAGACAGATAGAAGGCAGGCACATTGAAGGTCTCAAACATTACCTCTGCTATCTTCTCACGAACCTGTCTTGGATTCAATGAAGGTTCAGTCATGTGCACGGGATGTTCGTTGGACTTCACTCCCAGATCATACTCGAAAAGATGTTTCCAGAGCTTCTCCATGTAGTCCCAGCCCATGATAAGGCCACGCTCAATAGGAAAATGCAGATTTAGGGTCTCATACTTGTACAGAGCTTCAGTCCCCACGAAGAAGTTCTGATTAGCTCTTGTGGCAAACAAGTCCAATTTTGGATCTCCCACGACAGATCTGATTACGTGGCGGGGTCCAATCTCTCCAGATAAGCCAGCCTTGCAGACTCCAGACCCATTATCAAAAACTACAGCTGGAATTTCTAAACTACATGGAGCAAACATGTTGATAGTATACTCTGCTGAGCTTCTCCAAGTAAACACAGAACACTTAGGCTATTTGGGGACACTTCTGGAAGCTTAAAGGTCACTGGATTCCACAGTCCTAAAACTGTCCCAAGACAGAACTACCAGGATGTACCCAATCCCTGGGAAAACCTCATCCTTATCTGATGGAATTGTCCTCCTTTCACATGGCCCAGGTCCTGCTTCAGCCTTTTCAAGGTTGGTCCTCCCTATGTAACAATGTAACCAAGCAACAGCAGTTCTCAGTGAGCATCAGATGAGCCTTAAAGGGACAGGGCTCTAATTCAGTAGCACACCTGGCTTAGTGAGCTATAAAACAGAAAACCACTAACCATACCTATCTACAGAGACCTGGTGTTGCACTGTGGGTTAATGCACCAGACTGCAAAGCCACTTGAACTGCAAGGTCAGTGATTCAAGCTCACCAGCTACTCCTGGAAAACCCTATACAGGGTCGCTATGGGTCAGAACCAACTCGACGGCACTTAACAACATACCTACCTATTGGTGGCTTTCATAAGCTTGTGAGCCTAAAGCAGAGGCCTAGCCTTAAAACCAAGGGAAGCAATTCAGCTGTGAACTGGTCCCAGAGACCCATGCTCTCTGCTCAGCTGAGCTGCTCTTGGGGGATGATAAACAAAAAAAACTTCTTTTTGCTAAGGGGAGGCACTAAGCACCAGACACACACTCAGGTCAGAGTGGTGATGTTTATAAACCCAGTTTTCACAGACACTCAGATTTTTCTTTTTAGTTTTCCAGAGTACTTGGCATTGTTGTTGTTGGACGACTCCATTGAAATATAACACCCATACCACACAATTCAGCCATATATATAGCACCAAAAAAAGGTTTTTTAGTATATTCATGAATATGTGCAATCATAACCAAAGTCAATTTTAGAACATTTTCATCACCTCAACCCTCTTATCCTTTAAGGTTTTATGTTTGTTTGCTAATACCTTCAGGGCAATTTAAACTTCTTTCTTTAATGCCACTGGCTCTTGATCATATAGAGTCCTGGTGTGGCGCTGTGGGTTAGTGTGCTGGACTGCAAAATCAACTGCAAGGTTGGCAGTTCAAGTTCACCAGCCATTCCTTGGGAACCCTATACAGGGTAGCTGTGAATTGGAACCAACTCAACGGCACTTAACAACAACAACAAATTGATCATATGCTACATCTTGAAATGGTTCAACATTGTACAATTCTTTTTGGTATAGTGTCTCAGTGCATTCCTTCTAACGTCTTTGGATAGTTTCTGCATCATATAATAATCTGTGTATGTTGTTGTTGTTGGGTACCATCAAGTCGGTTCCAAGTCATAGTGATCCCATGCACAACAGAGGTGCTCTGGTAGTGGTTATGAGTTGGGCTACTAACCTCAAGGCCAGTAGTTCGAAACTACCAGCTGTTCTGTGGGAGAAAGATAAGATTTTCTGCTCCCATAAAGACTTACAGCCTTGGAAACCCTATGCAGGGTTGCTATGACTCAACTGACTCCAAGGCACACAACCAACCAACCAACATGTCCAACAAAATGAAACATTGCCCAATTCTGTGCCATTCTCACAATTGGTGTTATGTTTGAGCCCACTGCTGCTGCCACAGTGTCAATTCATATCACTGGGATTCTTCTTTTTCACTGACCCTTTACTTTACCAAGCATAGAATCCTTCAATATCATAAGTTCTACTTGGACTTTTTTCTGTAGTTTTCAGGTGAGAAATGCTGAAAGAAATGCTTGAGAAACCTTTGAGTTTTCTAAGTCTAAGCATTTGTACTTTTCATTATAATACTTTAATTTGTCTTCCAGAGTTTCCCTTTGACATTTTCTGTTCAACTTTTTTCCCTCATTATGCATTCCAATTGCTTGAGGACTAAGGTCTGACCCAAGCCATGGTATTTTCAATAACCTCATATGCATGTGAAAGTTGGACAGTGAATAAGGAAGAACAAAGAAGAATTGATGCTTTTGAGTTATGGTGTTGGAAGAGAATATTGAAAGTGCCATGGACTGCCAAAAGACCCAACAGATCTGTTCTGGAAGAAGTGCAGCCATAGTGCTCCTTGGAGGCAAGGATGGCCATACTTTGTGTCGCATACTTTGGACATATTGTCAGGAGGGACCAATCACTGGAGAATAATATCATGTTTGGTAAGGTGGAGGGTCAGAGAAAAAGAGGAAGACCCCCCCTTACGCCCCCAGCGAAATGGATTGGCAAAGTGGCAGCATCAATGGGCTCAAGCGTGGCAACAATTGTGAGGTAGGCCAAGGACTGGGCAGTGTTTCATTCTGTTGTGCACAGGGTCGCTATGAGTCAGTACCAACTTGACGGCACCTAACAACAACAACCCTAATGTCAAGAGCAAGTTTCAGAGTCTCTTCTGATATGCAGTTTGGCCTTTTCTTCTTTCTTGTCCTGACTTTTTGCTTTATTCGCATATGATGCTCTCGATGTCATACAACAACTCACTTGTCTCTTCAATCATTAGTGTTCAATGCTTCAAATGGTCCTTAAATTCAGGTAGAACACTTTGAATGCTATACACAGAGATCAGATAGATTTCAGAAAAAGATGTAATAACTCTGACAACTACATAGAGTGATTCTAACTGAATTCAGTGAAGTAGATATTTATAAAGTTGAATGACTATTGCTAGAAAATACACTCCAGAGAGTGAATCAGTGACAAGCAAGAAAGAGTGGTTTCTGTCATAGGTCTTATCTATAATATAAATAAATTGGAGGAGTTTCATAAATTCACTATTAGCCAGCCACTTGACAAAAGAGGAACTGATCATTAATATGACAGAATCATGATTCAAAAACATCATCTCACCATACTGAAATGATATACCAAATTGATTTAATTTAATAAATAATATTTCTATACTTGAGAAGAAAAATAGGTACACAATTAGGGGAGGGACAACTTAATAGGCATTCTGCATTCTGACCTAGTAAAACTAACTCAAAATAAGATATTGAGATTTGGACCTCACATTGTCAGAGATATACTGACAACAGGGGACTTCAAAGGAGGAATTAAGGCATTTTAAAAACTGACATACAAAGGATGACTAGAAATTGATTTCTGACATGGTAGCTTTGAGGAGCTCCTCTGAGTGTTCCGCAGTGAAATTGGTGGAAACTATGGCAAGGCACTGGAGGATAAGCACTAGACTGGGAACCATAAAGTTGGTGGTTCAAACCCACCAGCCACTCCTCTGAATACAGGTTACTATGAGTCAGAATTAGCATCCAGATGTGGCACTGCAGGCTACACACTGCACTGCTAGACACAAGGGTGACAGTTCAAACCTACCAGCCACTCCTTGAAATCCTTATGAATCCAAACTGACTAGAGGGCACTTCATAACAACGAGTCAGAACCAATTTCACAGCACCTAACAACAAAAACATAAAACAACAAAAAACAATGAAAGGCTCTGGATATGTTTGAAAGGCAACTGTAGAAGATTTAAGATATTAAGTTGAACTATTGTCCTGATGTGACTCTGTAGGATAAGTTCTGGACTGATAGGTTGGTGGTTCAAACTTACCAATTGAATCAGGAAAACCCTATACAGGGATGCGATAGGCTAGAACCGACTAGACAACAACAGCTCAGAACAAAATAAGTAGCTACTGAATGGTTTCAATCAATAAAAGGTGGGTATCAGGGTTGCATCCTTACACTATACTTATTCCACGTATATGCCAAGCAAATAATCCAAGAAGTAGAATTATATGCAGAAGAAAGTGGCCTCAGGACTGGATAAAAGTTCATCAAGAGCCTGAGCTATGTAAACGACACAACATTGCTCCTATAAATGAAAAAGACTTGGCATACTTACTGATGAAGATCAAATCCATTACTGATTATAGACTTCAGTAATGGATTGTTACCTCAATCTAAAGGAAAATGAAAATCCTCACACCAGTCCATATTAAAACTTCCTCAATGTCTTTCTCTCCTTCCCATCATGTCTTGTATAGCTTTCCAAACCAGGATAATCACTCCAATCAAGGTTGTTATTGTTGTTGCTGTTGTTAGGTGCCATCAAGTCGGTACCAACTCATAGCGACCCTATCACAACAGAACAAATCACTGCCCAGTCCTGAACCAACCTCACAATTGTTGCCACACTTGAGCCCGTTGATGCTGCCACTTTGCCAATCCATCTCACTGGGGTCCTCTTTTTCTATGACCCTCCACCTTACCAACCATGATATCCTTCTCCAGCGACTGGTCCCTCCTAACAGACAATATGTCCGAAGTATGAGAGACAATGTCTGACCATCCTGGCCTCCAAGGAGCACTCTGGCTGCACTTCTTCCAATACAGCGCATGGCACTTTCAATATTTTCCTCCAGCACCATAACTCAAATGCATCAATTCTTCTACGGTCTTCCTTATTCACTGTCCAGCTTTCGCATGCATATGAGGTTATTGAAAACACCATGGCTTGGGTCAGGCGCACCTTAGTCCTCAAACTGACAACTTTGCTCATCAGCACTTTAAAAAGGTCTTGTGCAGCAGATTTGCCTAATGCAATGCGTTGTTTGATCTCTTGACTGCTGCTTCCATGAGTGTTGATGGTTGATCCAAGAAGAATGAAGTCCTTGACAATTTCAATCTTTTCTCTGTTGATAAGAATGTTGTTTATTGGTCCAGTAGCCAGTCAAGGTTACTGTACTATATTTGACTGTGATGTTTCTGAAATCTATGTTAATCTAGGCTAGTTCACCACCACGACGTCTTTATATTCGCTTTTCATGACACCAATTTACTGTTAAGAAATGAAGGCGGTTCTTTTCTACTTCACATTGCACATTCTGGATTTGTCCCATTCTTTTTTTTATGTTGTTATGTAACTTGCGCTTCATCCCCAGTATTCCCTACAAATGGGAAAGTAGAGAGAAAGGTAGGATTAAACTACCCCAGACAACCAACAAGCAAATATTTGTGAGATCATATGTTGACACCATGAAAATTCTAGTGAGCATGTGGAGCAATCTTTCATCTCTAGAGTTTGGCATTGTCTTTAATACTGTTATCACATTACATTTTATATTTTTGAACAGTTCCATTTTTTAATGATTTGTTTTCCACAAACCATGTACAAAAATAAAAAGGTGAGATTCACTTTTTTAGTGATGGCAGACTTACTTCTTAATTGAAATTGGAACAGTTTCCTTCTTTTGATTTTGTCTGAAATCCATATAGTAACCAGTATGATAGCCATGCATGTACCAAGAGATTAACACACTTCCCAGAGCATCAGTGGCCTCAAGAGAATCTGGACATATGGGAGGTGGGAAGGGAGGGGAGATTATAGGTGGTCCAGAGGAAGACTCATTAACAACGTGTGATATGCAAATGATACAATCTTGCTTGCTGAAGGTGAAGAGGACTTGAAACATTTACTGATGAAGATCAAAGAGCACAGCCTTCAGTATGGGTTGCATCTCAATGTCAGGGAAACAAAAATCCTCACCACTGGACCAATAAACAACATTCCTATCAACGGAGAAGAGATTGAAGTTATCAAGGACTTCATTCTTGGATCAACTAGCAACACTCGCGGAAACAGTAGTCAAGAGATCAGACGACGAATTGAATTGGGCAAATCTGCTGCACAGGAACTTTTTAAAGTGTTGAAGAGCAGAGATGTCAGCTTGAGGAATAAGGCACGCCTGACCCAAGCCATGGTGTTTTCAATAGCCTCATATGGATGCGAAAGCTGGACAGTAAATAAGGAAGATCATAGAAGAATTGATGCCTTTGAGTTGTGGTGTTGGAGGAGAATATCGAAAGTGCCATGGACTGCCAAAAGAACCAATAGATCTATTCTGGAAGAAGTGCAGCCAGAGTGCTCCTTGGAGGCCAGGATGGCTAAGCTTCGTCTCTCATACTTTGGACATGTTGTCAGGAGGGAACAGTCGCTGGAGAAGGATATGAGGCTGGGTAAGGTGGAGGGTCAGAGAAAAAGAGGAAGACCCCTAACGAGATGGATCGGCCAGGTGGCATCATTGATGGTGTCAAGTGTGGCAGCGGTAGTGATGTTGACCCAGGATCAGACATTGTTTCGTTCTGCTGTGCATGGGGTCGCTATGAGTCGGTTCCAACTTGATGGCACCTGACAACAACAACAACAACAGCAGAAGGAAATGGAGGTAGCCAACATGATAGGAAGGAAGGGGGTGGTGGTGGTGTGCCATTGAATTTTAGGCCTGACTTCCCAGGTCCCACTCCAGGCACTGGAGATGGTGGAGGTTGAAAAGAGTCCCAGGAAGTAGCTTTACACTTGATGTGATTTGCTTTATTTCCAGGAGACCTGGAGGAGTTCTCACTTTCATTTGTTGAAATTTGACTTTCATTTTCATTTTCTTGAGCATTCTCCTGAGTATTCTGCTCTACATTATTAACTGCTCCAAAGGCTGGTAAAAGTAGATCACACAAATTTTTCTCCTCTCTATTTCCATAAGCAGTGTAAACCACAACACAAGTTTCTCTCTTAACATCAAGTGAAGCAATGATCACTGGGTAAATGAAGCCATCTTCTGACCAAATGGCAGAACATTTATCACCAACTTTCCACTGTTTCAATGGAGTTGTGGTATTCTTGATTAGAAACAAAACAAAAAACTTAACAAAATAGGAATAAAAAGGAAATCCCTCAATATAACTAAGTGCATATATACAAAACCAGCAACCAACATCACTCTCAGAGCAGAGAAAATGAAAGCATTCCTGGTGAACAGGAACCAGGTAAGGATGGATGCCCTTTATCACCACTCCTATTCAGTATTGTGCTAGAAGTCTTAGCCAGAGCTTTACCACAAGAAAGAGAAATTAAAGGCATCCAAACTGGCCAAGACATAATAAAACTCTCTAGTTGTAAATGAGATGATCCTATACTTAGAAAATCCAAAAGACTCAACAAAAAAAATTTCAGACTCATTGAAAGATTCAGCAAAGTGGAAGGGTACAAGATCAACCTCCAAAAATCAGACAGATTTCTTTACAATAATAAAGAGAGCTCTGAAAAGGAAATCAGGAAAACAATACCATTCACAATAGCTGCCCAAAAGATGAAATATTTATGAACAAATCTAAGCAAAGAAACAAAATATCTATACAAGGAAAACTACAAAACTGCTACAAGAAACCAAAAGAGACCTACAAAATGCAAGAATGTACCAAGATTGTGAATAGGAAGACTTAAGAATGTGAAAACTATAGCATAAGTTAAAGCAATCTATAGCTATAATGTGACATTAATCCAGATTCCAACATGATTCTTGAAAGAGATTGAAAAATTAATCACTAAGCTCATATAGAAAGGAAAGAACCTGGATAAATAAAAGATTACTTAAAAAGAAAAACAAAGTACAAGGACTCTCACTTCCCAATCTCAAAACCTAGTACACAGCTTCAGTAGTCAAAACAGTCTGGTACAGGTACAACAAAAGACACATGGGCCAGTGGAACAGACTTGATAACTCAGAAGTAAATCCACCCACCTTTGCTCAGTTCATCTTTGACAAAGGCTAAAACACATGAAATGGGGAAGAGATAGTTTCTTCAACAAATGGTGCTGGCAAAACTGGAAATCCATTTGCATAAGAATGAAACAAAACCCATATTTCATATCATACACAAAAACCTAGAATTATAAAGATCATCAATGAAAAAATAAGAACAAACTTAGGGGCTCTGATGTTTATTGTTGTTAGTGCCATTGAGTCAGTTCCAACACATAGTGACCCTGTATAGGGTTTCTGAGGAGCAGTTGGTGGGTTTGAATGACATTGTGGTTAGCAGTCCAGTTCTTATCCTACAGCAGAACACCAGGACTCAAGGAGGTCTGATACATGGCTTAAATACATTGTCAAACATAACTGAAACCACACAAACATCAAAAGACAAAATAGATGATAGAGACCTCCTAAGTAGACACTTATGTGCATCAAAACACTTCTCTGAAAAATAAAAAAAGAAACCAAAGATTGGGAAAAGTTTTTTTGCCAATGACATTATAAACAAGGGACTACTTTCTAAAGTTTATAGAACACTTCAACTCCTCAACAAATAGACACGTCAACGAAGAGAAAATTCAGGCTGCCAACAAGCATATGAGCTTATGATCAGTAGCCATTAGAGAAATACAACTAAAAACAACAAGATATAATTTTACTCTAGTATTAATAACGAAGTTCAAAAAAAGAGAAAACAACAAATGCTGGTAAGGATTTGGAGAGACCGGGACCCTCCTACATTGCTGGTGAGACTGTGAAATGGTGCAAACACTGTGGGAAAATTTCTCAAAAAGTTGGAAATAGAAATGTCAGAGGACCCAGCAATCTTGCAGCTTGCCATATATCATCTAGAAATAGGAGCCATGATATAAATAGATATATTCATATGTTCAATGCATTCACAATAGCAAAAAAATGTCCATCAACAGAAGATTGGATATATAAACTTTGATACATACAAACAATAGAATACTATGCAATGTTGAAACACCTCATAACATGGATGAACCAGGAGGACATTATACAGAGTGAAATTTGTTGTTGTTGTTATGTGCTGTGGAGTTGGTTCCTGACCAGGGTTTCCAAGGCTGTACATCTTTACGGGAGCAGAAAGCCTCATCTTTCTCCCACGGAACAGCTGGTAGTTTTGAACTGCTGACCTTGTGGTTCACAGCCCGAACCACAATACTGCCACTTGGCCAGTCCATGTGGTTGGGGTCTTCCTCTTTTTCTCTGACTCTCCACCTTACCACATGATATCCTTCTCCAGCGACTGGTCCCTCCTGACAATATGTCTGAAGTATGAGAGACGAAGTTTGGCCATCCTGACCTCCAAGGACCACCCTGGCTGCACTTCTTCCAGAACAGATCTGTTGGTTCTTTTGGCAGCCCACGGCACTTTCAATATTCTCCTCCAACACCATAACTCAAAAACATCAATACTTCTACATTTTTCCTTATTCACTGTCCAGCTTTCACATGCATATGAGGTTATTGAAAATACCATGGCTTGGGTCAGGTGCACCTTAGTCCTCAAGCTGACATCTTTACTCTTCAACACTTTAAAAAGGTCTTTGCTCTTCAACACTTTAAAAAGGTCTTGTGCCTAATGCAATACGTCATTTGATTTCTTGACTGTTGCTTCCATGAGTGTTGATAGCTGATCCAAGAAGAATGAAGTCCTTGACAACTTCAATCTTTTCTCTACTGATAATGCTGTTTATTGGTCCAGTGGTGAGGATTTTTGTTTTCTTGACATTGAGATGTAATCCATACTGAAGGCCTGTGCTCTTTGATTTTCATCTACTACAGTAGGACTATAAAATGGTGCATTTTAAAATGGTGAGGTATGGCATTTCCTCAAAAAGTTGGAAATCGAAATATCATTCAAACCAGCAATCTCTCTACTTGGTATATATCCTCAAGAAATCAGAGCTGTGACATGAATAGATTTCTGTACACATGTTCATTGCAGCATTATATACAATAGCAAAAAGATGGAGACAGTCTAAATGACCATTAAGGAAAGAATAGATAAACGAATTGATACGTACACACAACGAAATAGTACACAATGTTGCATAATAATGATGAATCTCTGAAGTACCTCATCACATGGATGATCCTGGAGGACAATGGTGATTATGCTGAGTGCAATTAGTGACTCATAAAAGGACAAATACTGTATGTATGAGACTGCTATTGTAAAAAGTCAAGAAAAGGGTTTTGTTTTTTGGTTCTTTTTTTGCTAAAAGTAACATTCTACGATGGTTATCAGGTGTGGAAGAGAAGGGAGAATTATTCACTACCTTGAGGGTAGACACGTGTTAACGGGTGATGGAGAGGCAATATACAACAAGAGGGAGATTGGCAGAAGAATGATGAGGGCAGGGGAAGACTGCAAAAGTTAAAGGGAATAGAGGTAAATACTGTCACATTCACAATCCTGAAATAACAGCAATCTATTGGTAGATATATGGACAGATACACAGACTGAACAGGTATGGGAAGGAGAGTGGGAGTATGCTCACAAAATATAAGGTTTTATAGAGGATATGTGTACATGAGTATGTACCTTTGCTAAGCACTGGACTGCAAACCACGAGATCAGTGGTTTGATGTCACCAGATGCTTCTCAGGAAAAAGATGAGCTTTTCTGGTCCCACAAAGATTTGCAGCCTCAGAAACTATACAAGTTGAAATAGACTCAATAGCACATAACAACAACAATGACCTTTGCTGAAAATGTATCTATGACTGTAGGGGAGCATACATGAGACAAAATCATGAGAATGTCTTAAATGTAACCAAATACCTCGGAAGAATGAGTTTCTGGGACTGGGGGTTCAGGACTATAGTCAGGGGACATCATGGTCAATTGACATAACATAGTGCACTAAGACAATGTTCTACACCCTAATTTTTGAGTAGCAACTGGGATATGAAAAGCTCATGAGTAGCCATCTAAGATGCACCTATTGGTCTCTCCTTGTGTGGAGGAAACTAAAGACCCTTCAAATCAATTAGCCCAATGGAATGAAGTGAACATCCGTCTCAATGACCCTGAGACCAGAAGAAGTAGATAGTGTGGTGCCCAGCTACCATTATCAACTGTTTTAGAAAGGATCACTTTAGATGGTCCTAGATAAAATGGGACAAAATGTGGAACAGAACTCAAAATTATAAAGACCATGCTAACTGGTCAGAGAAAGACTGGAGGAACCTGAGACTAATGTCCCTTGGTCACTCCTCAGGTTTGGAAACAACTCACGCTTGTGGTTCAATTTTCAGTCAAGCTGTAGATAGATAGGTATATTCAGGAGACAAAAGCACTAGTGAGGTATGCACACCACTCGAGTTCACAAGGGCAACTGTTACCTAAGGACCAAATTCAGAAAGTTGGGAAAGAAGGTGGAATGAAAACAAGAACCATAAGAAGGAAGTGGGATAACTGAGGTCACATGAGGGGATTGCAATCATTGAAATGAATGAAGTTTACGATTGTCAAACCTAGAACTGATCGTTTGTTCTATAAACCTTCACACAATTTACAATAAAAAGATTTTTTTTTTTCAACAAATCAACGTTTTTATTTGCGCGGCCAATCTTCATTTGTACTCTTTGCAACTTGACTGGAACCCTGAGACAAGCTCCAAGCTTTGTTGCACAGGGAATAAGAACTCATTGCCTTCAACAGCCACTCCCACAACACCTAACATGAAATGGATGTAACAAAGGACAACACCACAATTGGAGTTACTAACTTCCACCATTCAACATAGTTCAGGACAGTGTCTGCAGGGTTCAGCTGAAGAGGGGGTAAACGTCAAAAAAGAGGGTCATTCTGCTGTTTTATAATGTTGGTGGCTTTAATCCATATTTCTTTGCAACTTCTGTCTGCGCATGGGCAGCAACACAAAGTGAATATAGATGCGCCATTTCCATTTCTGACTTGTCCAGATTGATGGCTTTGTTGAATGTGACAATGGCTTTCTCCATGTTTCCTCTTTGCACTTCGATAGTCCCATGGTCTCACAGGCAAAAACACATTTGTTGTCAATTTCAACAGCCTTGCTGATATGCTCTGAGCCATTATCCAGATCTTGCTTCCACTGAAGTTGAATTAAACCTTTAGGAACATATGTTGTGAATTATCTGGGTCCAAATCAATGCATTTATTATACATTTCATCAGCTCTGGTAGCGTAGTGGTTACGAATCGGGCTGCGAACCTTAAGGTCAGCGGTTCGAAACTACCAGCTTCTCCGCGGGAGAAAGATGAGGCTTTCTACTCCCATAAAATTTACCCCCTCGGAAACCCTGTACAGGGTCGCTATGGGTCGGAACCGACTCGATGGCACTTAACAACAACAACAACATCAGTTTTACCAAACTGTTATTGGTCTGTTAAGGCCTGGGCATATAGTCCATAGGCTTCAGCACACCTTGGAAATTTTTTTATGACTTCTTCAAAACCTTTCATAGCTGCTTGATTTGTGAAGAATTGTTTCCCATATATGCCTGGCAATGCAAAACATTTCTGAGCTTGTGCCAGAGCAGAGTCAGGTCTTAATCTAATACATTCATCAAAATCTGCCACTGCATCTTCAACTTGATCAAGAAGTATTTTTAGCTGCCCTCGGTGGTGGTACATATCTGCATTCTGAGGATCAATGTCAGAAGCTATGTTAAAACCCTGAGTAGACAGCAAAGGTTCCTGCTATTGCATGTACATGCTGCCCCTCTTGATGAGAGAATTTGCTTGAAGCTTTACATTGGCTTCCTTCAAACTGATGACCTTATCTAAATCTGGTTTGGCTGCATTGGCATTACCAATAAGCAGATAGAAGGTGGCTCATAGTAACAATGCTTCTGCCATGTATTTGCCTTGAGCATCTATTTCTTTTGAGCATTCACTTAAGATTTTATTATAGTTTTCTTCTTGGCCTTTAAATATCCAGAATTTGCTTTTACTTCTAATGCCTTCCTTTCTTTGTCTTTGTCTTCATCAGACTTCTCTCCTTTATTCATGGGCTGAGAAATGATATCAGCCATGAAAGAACTGAAGTAAGATTTGATAAATTGTGGAGATGGCATCAGAGGTTCACAATTCTTATATTTATCTTTGGCTTTCTCTTTGCCCAGAAGTTTAAGAACTTTATCAGCTAACAACATGCTTTGTTGATTTGGAACCCTTCTAACAGACAGACAGCCCTCACATCTTCTAAACATTCCTTCTTATTGTCTACCTTCTCATGGGCTTTTGTATATCTAAAGGGTACTTTCCCACATTTGGGGTTAAGTTCAACAGCTTTTGTACAATCTTGTGTCACCTCTTTCTTTTTGCAGTTGTTCAAAGGCAGCAGCTGTGTTCTGATAAAATTTGGAAATGTCAACGTTCTGTGTAGGGCACAAACTGATAGCTACAGTATAACACTCAATGATTTGTTCATATTTTCCTGCTGTGAAGTATTTGTTGCCTTTGTTCTTGGCTGCTTGGGCTCTATCAAGAGAGTTAGTTATGTGGTTTGTTAGGGAAATTAACAGGTCAGAGGTGTTCAGAGCACAATTCTTCCAGTCAGGAAATAATAAAAAGATTTTTAAAAAACAAGAAGAATACAGAAAAAATACAGAGGAATCACTGTTCCAAAAAGAATTGGTTGACAGTCGACCATTTCAAGAGAGAATATATGATTAAAAAAAAAAAAAAAAAAAACCACTGGAATTAAAGGCAGAAATCCAAGCAGCACTAAAGGTGTTAGAGCAAAAAAAGGCTTTAAGAATTGACAGACTACCAATTGAAATGATTCAATAAACTGAGGCACTGCTGGAAGCACTCACTTCTCTATGTCAAGAAATTTGGAAGACAACTAGTTAGTTACCTGGCCAACTGATGGGAAGAGGTCCATATTTGTGTCTATTCCAACAGAATCTGGATATTATCAAACCGTATTATTAAAATCACAAGCAAGTAAAATTTTGTTGAAGATAGTTCAAAAACTGTTGCAGCAGTACATCAAAAGGGATCTAACAGAAATCCATGCTGTATTCAGGAAAGGATATGGAATGAGCAAGATCATAGCTAATGTCAGATGGCTCTTGGCTGAAGGCATAGAATACCAGAAAGATGTTTACTTATGCTTTACTGACTATTCAAAGGAATTCAACTGTGTCTATATTATTCTTTTTAATGAATCTATAATTATATTTGGTTCATTTGGGGGTAGAAGAAATAAGTGCAATTATGTGAAGTGATGTTTTTTTAAGTTCAACCATCCTCTCTCCCCTCTTACTGAAATGTCACTTTCTGCCTACAACTGGATTAACTTCTCAATGGGTAATTTAAATTTATGTTTATTAATGTACTCTCTTCAAGGTGACTAGCACCAGTCTAAAGGACTGTAGAAGTTGAAAGACCTGCCAGTGACTAACACGCTCACTTGGTGTTATTTGGTTGCAATTGTGATGATTACAAGTGTGGATTGGAAAAAAATGTGAAGGTGTGAATAAAAAAAAATTACTTCTAGTATTTATAGTTCAACCAAACCAAATCCACTGCTGTGGAGTCAATTTATAGCAACTCATAGTGATTCATAGCAGATGCATAGATTTCCAAGGCTCTAAAACTTTCCTGGAGCAGAAAACCTCCTCTTTCTCCCTCAGAGAGGCTGGCAAATTTGAACTGTTGACCTTGAAGTTAGCAGCACAATTTTTAGCTCACTATGTCACCATGGTTCCTTGCAATTATGGTTTATTGTTGTTAAGTGCTGTCAAACTGGTTCTGACTCATAGCGACCCTGTATAGGGTTTCTGAGAAGTGGCTACTGGGTGTGAACCTCCAACTTTGAGGTTAGCAATTCAATGCTTATCCTACAGTGCCATACCATGGATGTTTATTTTATTTTACTGGAGAGGGGAGAGGTAGGCAGGAGTAAGGAAAGGGTTAGGGTTAGGATTATGGCTAAGTCTGGCCTAGGACTAGGAATTCATTTAGTGTTAGGAATAAGGGGTGGGCTAAGGCTAAGAACAAGGGTTGGTTTATTTTTAGGGTTATAGTGAGGCTTCAAGGTGGCAGTTTGGTTAGACGTGTAATGAGGAGCTCCGTCAACAACAACATGGAATACCGGGCCAAGAGGGCTCATGAGATGGTGTTGGAACTCTGAAACAAATATAAAGGTATGTTTGGAGGATCAGAGGATCAGAGTGTTTACAGCTGGGGAATTTGCAGGAGAATCCAGAAATCCATTGTTTTCTGGATCAAGACATTCGGCTGTTCCCAGAGCTACCATCTTGGGAGAGAATATCTTGATTGTATCAGGATAGATAGTATCAGGAGAGAACATCTTGATTGTATTTTGATTATATCAGGATTGTATCAAGATTGATATAGAAATTTAAAGTAACAGTATCGACATAAAACCAAACGGCCACCACTCGTTTGTCTGTTGTGCTGTGGTGGTCTGAGTTGCTATGACTCTGAGGGCTCTGCCACCGGTATTTTAAATAACCAGCAGGGTCACCCATGGTGGACAGGTTCAGATGAGCTTCCAGACAAAGACA